GGGGAGGGAGGTTGTTGTTGTTATTGTTGTTGTTGTTGGTGGTGGTGGTGATGGTGGTGGTTTTCCTAAGCCTTTGTCAGGAATCACTTTCTTGTGAACTCTGAGGACACAAAATTAGTTATATTAAATATTATATTGAAGAATTAGATGTTGAAGTAAAGTGTGGTGGCTCACACATATAATTCTAGCACTTAGGAGGCCGAGGTAGGAGGATCATGGAGAGTTCGAGGCTAGTCTGGGTTACCTGGTGAATTCCAGGACAACCTGGGCTACAAAGGGAGACCCTGTCTTCCAACATTCCAAACAAAACAAAACAAAAAGCCCAAACAACAATAAAAACAAGGGCTGGGGATGTAGCTCAGCTAGTGGGATGCTTCCCTAGTGTCGATGAAGCCCCCAGTTTCCAATGTCACACGAAGCCAGGTATAATGCCGCACATCTCTGATTCCAGAATGCTTGTAATCACAGCATTCAGAAGCTGGCTGCTGGGGGGTCAGAAGTTCAAAGTCACCTTTGGTTATATACTGTGTTGGAAGCCAGCCTGGGCTACTTGTCTCAAAAAAAAAAAAATGGGGCCCAAGGATGCCTATCCAAGAGAAACAGAATGTCATCCAAAGGGAGAGGAGACCACGATACAGACAAGTTTCTCTTTGTGCTTTCTTGTGGATGCTCTTAGCTGACATCCTGACTCTGGGCTTCTCCCCATAATTCCAGTGGTACCTTTGGATAAGTGATGCCCACGGTGGCGTCTTCACCCCCACATGTCCCCCATATAACCTCTAAGAGCACCTGAGCAATGCGGTATCTCAAAACAGATGCATCACTGAAATCAAAACAGAGCAGACAGATTTGGAAAATGGACTTCCTGGGAAGGTGGCAGGAGGCCAGAGCCAGGCAAGTGAGGAAAGATGGCATGGGAAGAGAGAGGCTTCAGGCATCTTGAAAATTGAGATGTCTTTGGGGGAAGAAAAATCAATACAGGCTATGAATCTTTTAGTATGGGCTGACGGCAAAAAGCATCACAACGGGACCGTTGGTTTTTTTTTTTTAAGGTTTTAAAAATAATTATCCATGTACATTAGCTGGTGTTTCTTTAAAGAAAAACATAACCCACATAAGTACTATATTTCAGAAAGACTTTAAAATGCTGAAGTTGCCTCGCACAGTAAATCGATGCCTGGCCACTCCCTAAAGTACTGTGTTCAGCGCCAGTTCCCAGAGCCCGAGACTCAGGGCTCTTTCTCATTAAGATCAATTCTGGTTCTCACTAATAGTAAATGCCTAGTCAGATGGACAAAAATATCACTCGCCTCCCCTCCACAATCGCAGTGTCGACTTTTGTTACTGGGAAAACAGGTTCCTTTTTGGGGGGTGGGGGGTGTTCTTGGTCTCATTAATAAAACTCAGAAGGAAACTATAGTTCATAGTTGTTATTGTTTTAGACTTTGAGAGAGGAAACAATAGTTGGGGTAGCTGAAAATTCTGTCAGCTGCCAGGAGAGAGGGGAAAAGTCACCCCTATTAAGTTAGCCATGGAGGCACTGAGAAAGCGCCCAGTGTTAGTAGGGAAAGTGTGTTTAGAGTGCCCAGCTGAGACGCTGAGGTCAGAGGTCACCCGACTCCAGGATCTTCAGTCCCAGGAGAAAGGAGGCACAGGGACACATAGTTAGAAATATCAGCGGGAAGCCAGCTTATTACAAAGTAAAAAGCACCCCCAAGGAGGGAGAGCACCCAGTCACGTGGTATCTGGCCTTTTATAGACTCTCAATCGTCCCCAACTCTAGTTTATATTTTTAGGGCCAATCCCACCCCCACTGAGCATGCTCTGTTAGATGAAGCCCCTGATAAGAAGGACTTCCAAACTTCCTCTGCAAACTGGCTTCTTTCAAAGTTGATGTTTCAATTCAGTTCCGTCTTACTTTCTCAGGGGAAGGATCAACAAGCACTTGGCTCCCTGCACCACCCACACACCACAGAGTATCATGATAATAGGTCCAAGAATGTGCTATCCCACCAAGTCTAACTTGGGGAACCAATGAATGTACTGAGGATTATTTACAGAGATGGTGATGGATTACTTGAAGGCATGGAGGTGACCCCAAAGTAGCTATATCTCTCCAGCATAGACACACAGATGGGTTCCTTTCATTAACCCTCCACAGAGACTCTAGCTCCTCTCAAGACTGCAAGGGCTCATGTGAATTAGGGCAGAAGTTCGTATAGCCAGCATTGGGATGCGGGTAAACACGATGAGACCTCCTATAGAAGTACCATGCTCCACCTTCCTTCTATGAGGGAATGTCGGCTCCGTTCTCCATGGGGTTACAACTACTCTGACAAAGACAGGAATGGCTATCACGCTTAGTGGGCAGTGTTCTGCAACCCCCTTCATTTCCAGAAACTCATAGCCCAGCCTGGCCTCAAACTTGAATCCTTCTGCCTCTGCTGCCTGAGTGCTGGGATTACAAGCATGTGCCACCATGCCCAACCCAACCAATCCTTTTAAGAATGCCTTCAGAGCATGTATACTATTGAACCGGGCTAGACAAATACACCCATTGCTTTCCTCTCTCGAGGTTCCTACTTGGCCTTCGCTGTTAGTGACCTTCTAAAACTACGTTCCGAGCCAGTTCCTCCAAGCAGGATAAGACCATCCCCATCCCGAAGCAGAGTTGCTATGGTGACCTTCAGTCACCGCATGACCGGCACCAGTCACGGCAAGGAAATAATCTGAACAATGCAGCTGATAGGTCAGCCTATGGAGATGGCGATACAGCTGGTAACAGTCCTCGTGCAAGGAGCAGAGGGGTCACCAGAGCCCACCTGAGATGCCAGTGGCCCCTCCCTCCTGCCCCAGATACACATGGCGGGCGCTAGAGTACATACTGAGCAGGCTGTGATACCAATAGACACCTTCAGAAGTTCTTGTGATATGGAACATTTTGGCGTGCTTTGGAACATGGCGCAACCTTTCTTGGCTCTTGGTGATCTTAGCGGGAGTGAGTCTGGAGTCCTGGGAAGCTTGATGGCCACCGAAGCCGCCCCAGTTGGTGGCTTTCCAGTTCTTGTCCCAGGAATTCAAAGAATGAAATTCACAGAACAAAAAGGGAGTTTCGGGGGGGGGGGGAGTTTATTCTTTGGGAGTTTGAGGGGAGGATTCCTACGCAACAGGAGTGGGTCCCAGGAAATAGGGTCCCATTGAGTTGCTAATCTAGGACTTTTTATAAGAGCTATGACAGAAACCAGGGTGATGCATGGGTTGGGGGACAAGCTGGTCCCTCCTCAGTTTTGGTCATGTCCTCAGGTATAGCTTTCAGACAGAGGTCAAACCAGGACACAAAGATCTCTTCTGGCATTCTGGCCTCCAGCAAGGACATTTTCAAAACTGCCGCTTTGGGGGCCCTGTCCTACCCGGGCAGTTTCTGTCTCCTGTCCTCAACATTTGTGTCCCTAGACCAGGAACTGGACAGAGCATGATGATATGAACCAAACTGAGAGATTTAAGAAAGTGTACACTCCCCAAAGAGGAAATGAGCCCAAGCAGAGAAAGATTTAGAGGAAAGCTGGACGGGCCACATCATGTAAAGGATGGGATCTTTGTGTCACATTTCAAGGGCTTCGAGGGTCATTGGCAGAGGGCAGTCTTTCTCACCCATGCTGACTGTCACATGCAGTAAATAGTAGAAACAGCTTCATGCATCCCATGTCTCATTAGCCTCTTAAATCTCCACCAAGAGGGGTGTGCTTTGGTACTATAATGAGCCACAGGACACCATCAGACACCCTGTGCTGGTACAAGTGGCTTTGGACAGTTCCATTTGGTCTTGGCCAGGACTAGGGCTGAGGGTCCCAGCCTCCTTGCATTTCTCCCGTAATTTCATTTGGCAGCAGCCTTTAAGTGAGTCAAGCCTCCCGGACCTCAGCCTCTGGTTGCCTCTCCTGAATCACCTGGAGGTTGGGAATCGTTGGTGGACTTCCCTGAGAGCTGGCGATGCTAGGGATGAGAATGTTCAGGGATGCAACTGTGTTTAAGTCACTCATGCTCCCCTGTAACTAACCCCAACAAACTCGTTGGTCCACTCACATGGAATTAGGTAGAATTTTCTTAGGCCTGTTTGGTGCCCTCTTCATCTGGCGTGGATGAATTGTTCATTATGCTTTTCCAGGAACACTTGTGTAAGAAGGACCTTACAAGGATTAACTTATATTCATAGAAGATGAAAGAGAATGTGGTAGCAGATATATATGGGGTAGGGGTGGGGTTGAGGCTGGAGATGGACCAGGTCCTTGAACATGCTAAGCACATGCTCAACCATTGAACTACACTCCCATCCCCACGTTTCTGGATTGGGAAATTAAAGCTCACAGACAGATCCAAGACCCGCTCGTGATATAGAAAGACATAATTCAAAGCCAGGTGTGGTAGCACACACCTTTATTTGTAGGATTAGGAATTCAAAGTCATCTTTTGGCTACACAGCAAGTTCCAAAGCCACCTTGGCCTATATGACCCTGCTCCCTGCTTTAAAAAGGGGATGGGGGGAGTTTGAGAGTACCAAGAGGACTGGACCTCTTCACCTTTGCCCAGCATCCTCTCTGACTTCTCGAGTGTCTACTTAATCCTAAAACCAAGCTCAAGCCACAGGTCCTCGGACACCTGGGGCACCCCCAGAGCTTCTGCAGACACCTCTATTCTTCCCCTACATCCCTCCCTCCTTCACAGCTCTTGACAGCCAGTCTGGTGTCTTTGCCATCTCCACCCCCAGCTCCCAGCATGTAGCACACCTGGCCGATCTGTTAAATGAGCAACCGAAGGGTGAAAATCTAAGGTTCATTGTAGCTGGAGTTATCTCCAGTCCCGCCCAGGCCCGCAGCCATTCAGACTCAAATAAACACACAGACACTTATATTATTTAAACTGTTCGGCCTAATGGCTCAGGCTTCTTGCTATCTAGTTCTTATATCTTTATAGAAATTAACTCATTTCTATAAACCTATACCTTGTCACGTGGCTCGTGGCTTACCAGTATCTTACATGTTGGTACTCATGGCGGCGGCTGGCAGCGTCTCCCTACTCAGCCTTCCTGTCCCCAGAATCCTCTTCTCTGCTTGTCCCTCCTATACTTTCTGCCTGGCTACTGGCCAATCAGCATTTTATTTATCAATCAATCAGAGGGAAACATTCACAGCATCCCCAGCAGTTCATAGTAAAAGGTGTGTTTCCCCGAAGCTCACCCCAGACAAAGTTCCAGGAAAGAAAACATAGGCTTCTACTGTATTGAAATGTCTATCTTCACGTCCTCACACTAGCTCGTATGGCAGCAAACAGGTCAGTGTAACAGCAGAGAAGCCTTGAATGCCAAGAGCACAGGCTGACATGCCTGGTGGGAACCTAGAGACCAAATGTTCTTCCTAGAAATGTTTCCTCCTCTGCTCCCTCTTCGAGGACTCAGAATATACTTTCTCACAAAGCCAGTTGTTGGAGGTTGTTATTACATTTCTAGGAACTATTCAGTTCAGCTGAAGTTCCGTTAAATTAACTGTCTTAGCTGCTAGGTAGAGGCACACATACGGCCATTATACTGCCTGTTTCAAAGTGTCTGGCCTTTGGTTTCTTAAACTTTAGTATATCGTGAGCCTGATTAATGGAGAGCAGGTATGTTTGGGGGAAATATTGTGTATAGTGGTTGGGTACTTCCCTCACCTGATAGCTGGGATTCTTCTAGAATGTGGAGCTGATTTTGTCACACCCCAGGCAGGTGTTCTGGAGAACTCTTTGTCTCCTCCATAATAAATATCAGATTCTTTAAAGTAACAGGTATTTACCTGCCTTATCCAGGCAGGATACGGCACCTCCCCTATCCCACCTTGCCCCGACCATACACTTCAAATGCAAATTCTCCCAAGCTTTTAAACCAAGACTAGAGGTTAGAGAACACACTGCTTGATTGAATCTCTTCTTTCGAAATCAAAAAGAGGGGTTGAGTAGATGGCTTAGTCAATAAAATGTTTGGTGCACAAGTATGAGAACCCAAATTCAAACCCCCAGCATCTGTGAAAAAACCTGACTTGTCTGAACACGCCTGTAACCCCGGGACTGGGAAGACACAGACAGATGGAGTCCTGGAGCCTGCTGGAGATTGCTGGATGACTGGTATCACCTAGTCAGTGAGAGACACCATCTCAAAAAATAAGGCGGGGAATGACTGAGGAAGATAGCTGGTATTGACCTCTGACCTCTGTATATACAGACCTCTCTGTCTCTCTGTTTCTCTGTCTCTCAGTCTCTCTGTGTGTCTCTCTCTGTCTCTCTCTCACACACATTCATGGGCACAAACACATCATACACACATACATACATACAAAATAATAGCCAAATCAGATCAACAATAGAAAGGTCTGTGGCTTCTCTCTATGCACAATCACTAAATAGTGTGTTAGCAGGTATATGGTGGATTAAGGTGTGTTACTGATGTGGTCTACTGATGTGTGTTACTGATGTGATGCACAACCATGTGCTATTTATTATCCCCATCCACCTCCCTCAGTTGGTACCCACAGCATCCTCAGCAGGCATTTGACAGGGTGACCACCAAGCCTGCTGTTTATAAAATTGTTGTTCATGGCTCCCATCGCCTCGTGTGGCCTGCACCACGTTTCTGGAAGTGTAAGCATGTCCACAGGAGATCCACTGTCCCTTTCATGTGAGTGTTGAAACACATCGATTTGTCAAGAGCTTTCAAAGTATCTTCCCTGTGGTTTCTCAGACCTCGGTTCTCACAAGACAGTCTTTCAGCCGAGGCTTCATCAACTATCACTAATATACTCTCAAAGTATGTTCCTTCTTTTTGTTGTTCATAATTCAGGGCAAAGCCCAGGAGGCGCCAAGGCTGTGGGTTCTGCCCTCCAGGATATTGGGATAATGGAGTTGCTGATGCTTTAGCTGTTGGGTGTGTGTGTGTGTGTGTGTGTGTGTGTGTGTGTGTGTGTGTGTGTGTGTGTGTGTGTGTTTTCATGTGTGTGCCCGTGTACTTAGAGGCTGGAGGTCAGTGTTGGTTGTCATTCTGTCTCTCGTTAAGCCTGGAGCTCACTCATTAGGCGAGACTTGCTGGCCAGCCAGCCCCAGTGATCCTGCCTCAGCCTCCCCAGTGCTGGGGTACTGGCACATGCCACCACATTCAGTTTATTCACATGGGTGCTGGGGACCCACACAGGTCCTCATGCTTGCACAGCAATCATTGTAGCACGCTGAGCCATCTCCTCAGTCTGCTGTTGGATATTTCTTGTCCAGCATAAGCAGGTCACGCTGACAGATTTTCAAAGCCCACGCGTGACTCTTGCTGTTCTCCCATCCCATCTCCGGTCACCTTCCTCTCTCTCCAGCTGCCTTGAGCACATCACCATGATAGCCTTTGCAGTCCTGCACTGACATCTATAGTAACAGCCACCGTTAAAAGCTTTTTATGGACCATCTGCTTTCAGGAAGGCTGCATGGGGTCGATTTAGATTTGGTTACATTTTAATTGTATTGCCAAATATGTTGGTGACCTTCAGTGAGTCTTTCAACGCTTTCAGTTTCACCTTTTAGAGATTCCATTTCTTAACTTGAAAGAAAAGAAAAGAAAAGAAAGAAAGAAAGAAAGAAAGAAAGAAAGAAAGAAAGAAAGAAAGAAAGAAAGAAAGAAAAGAAATCTAGAGCTATCTTATGGAATTGGCATACATGTATGTTTCATGTATTATTTCTTCCTCCTTATGGAATGCAATTTGCCTCTGTTTTCCACCTGCCAAAATCCTACTCAGCCAGGGAAAACATCTTTCTCAGAAACCTTCCTAGATCTCAAAGGTCAATTTTCCCTGGGTCCCCAAAGCTTCTATTTATGTTTTATAACCTAGGTTTTTTCAAAGCATGCATGCATGGAATTGTCACGACCGGCTTTCGTCCGGCCCTGACGTGTGTGATTGTAAGGACTTCTGCATGTGGCTTCCTTTGCCCAACTGCTTCTTAGCCCTGGGAAACATGTCGTGAGAAGTCGCTTGAGTCTAACTGGTTGATCACTGTGTCCCCAGCATTTACAACAGTGTTCAATACTTAGATGATGCCCAGAAAACACCAGCATCAGTGAACAGCAGGTCTGGGAAGAGCCCCAGGTCTGCTCATCAGTCCTAAGCCCTGCGCTCTGCTCCCTCTGGTCTCTCACCTCCCTCCCTGCGGTTCAGCCACCCAGGATGCCCTCCTGCTGCTGCTGTCCACCAAGAGAAGCCTTTCAAAGGAGCATCTATTATCTGAAGCTGCTGGGGTACCACTGAAGATCACAATAGCAAGCACATGGTGTCCCCTCATTTGTCTTCTGTCTGGACTGTCCAGCTGCTTAAAACACTGTCATCTGGGCTCCAAAAATAGCCCCAGTGGGAGACAAATGACGTGACCTTGGATGCTGGCTTTGCCGTGGACAGTCTACCGGTGGGAGGATTTTGTCCATTGAGACTTTTCCCTTAAGACGCGGAGATGTGGCTGGAGGCCATGCTGACCTCAGCCTGTCTGTCTACTCTGAGGTTGGACAATCTTAGCCTCTCCACTGACTCCTCTTAAGCTTGCGTTTTCCAGAAGTCTCCTACACTTGTAGCAGGCAGACAGTACGGGCCCTCCAGGTGTTCTAACACTTAGGCGCTCCTGTGCATTAGCAGGCTTTGAAGTGCAGTATCCTAACACTTGATTCACTCTGTACTTTTGGACAATGTGCCTTTCTACATCCCTAGATCTTATACTTTTTTAAAAGAATGTTCCTTTTTCTCTTCCCCCCACCCCCAGCTCAGGCCTTGCACATAACAATTGTTTAATATTTGTTGTCTGGCTTCAGTGGAGAAATGGTTGTCAAGGGGGAAAATTTTCCGCATGGACCCGAGGGTCTGGTTGAACCTCGGGAGGAGACATGGGAAGGGGTGGGCGAGGATCAGAGGGGGCAGCCTTTCTTCCCGACAGTTTCTCAGAGTGTTTTTCTCATTCCCTTTATTACTGGGGATGAAAAGGAAGGAAGGAGGTGGTGGGTCTGTGCCTTACAGGGCTCCGGCAAAAATCGATACTTTCTGTTTACAGATTATTTCCTTTCCATTTTTGTAGAGTTCTTACAAAGGAAAAAAGGAAGTAAAGAGAGTAATAACCCGAGACTCACAGCTGGGGAGAAGTCAATGTGAATTAAGTGAATTGGTTGACCAGGTGTTTGGACTAGCTAACACGGGTCTGTTTTCCCCAATACCAGTTTCTTTTTTAACTTTGCTTATGTGATCTCACATTTTTGACTAAACAAAACAAGACAAACAAACGGAAAAAAACAAAGCCAACGCACTTGTCTGGAATGGTAGCTATTTTAGAGTTGAGCTGCATGTTTGCATGTGGTCACACGGCCCTGGTAGATGGTAGTTTACCACCATGATGCAATAAGTCTTTCACTTCTTCAGAAACACAAAGTCTATTTTTACAGTTCCCACTCCCTGTGCAGAAAGCAAAAGCCCAGAAGGAGTGTGTTAAGAAAGTATGGATTTATGCACCAGGCACACTGCCTCCCGGGGTGCGCAGAGCACTTCCTCCCATGGTTCTGCACGTGGCATGGGTGGTGGAAGCTTCTTTAACTTGGGCTTGGCTTGAGTTCTCTAATTAGAGCGTCATCTTTGCCTCCTTGACCCAAAGGACGTCAAAGAAGGGTCTCCCTCCTCTTTTCCTGTCCTTCATTTCCTGAAGGTTAAAACCAAACTTATTTTTCTTCTGCTGACTGTAGTGGTCTTTCTCAACAGGGTGTGTGTATGTGTGCATGTCCACATACATGTTTGTGGGGTGGGGGATGCACATGTACATGTATGTATATCTATGTGGAGGCCAGAGGTCAGTATTAGGTGTCTTCTTCGGTCACTGCTTGCCTTAGTTTTTGATACAGGTCAGTGAGCCTGAAGTTTCATCAATTAAGCTAGAGGGGGGCCCCAGGGATCACCATGTCTCTGCTGACCCAGCACAGTGGTTACAGGCGCCTGCTGCCATACCCAGCTTTCTACATGGATTCTTGGGTTCCAAACTCTGGTCTTCATGCTTGTACAGAAACTCTTCACTGAGATATTTCTCCAACTTCTCATTGAGATGTTTTTGATGATTGATCAGAAGCTGAGCCTATTTCTAAAAAAGAAAGGGGGGAGAGACAATTTTTGACAAGTGTTTTTAAATTACTGTGTTGTTTCTTTTAACCTCCTTAAGAAATCTGAAGGCCTGAGATTAAAATAATGAAGACTAGATCTTTCTATGGCTTCTGCCATCCTTCTGACTTACTTGGGTGCTTAAACCTTAGTCTATGCCTTATGAGTCTCCATCTGGAGGAAAAAAAGTGCTGGGGTTCAAAGCAGGTTGTGATCAGACATACATTCTAAAGCATGGCATTGTTCTTTATCTTCCTGGGGTTAGAAAGAGGACGTAGATATTGGGAGCAGGAGTGTACTCCCGGCTGTGACCCCTGACTGTGACGCCTTGTGGACAGCCACATTACCGTCTCCGAGGTAAAATCCTACGTACCGAAGCAAGAAGGTTTGGGTGTCAGTTCACAGTTTCAAATGTCTGGGTGTGTTGCTCTGCACCTGCGCAGTGTGCTGGCCACTGGCGAGGCATTTTCTGAGCGTTCTAACAAGAGGAGGCTTCAGGACAGAATGTGTCTCTTGACGTCTGCTGATCTAGCTTAGTTTGTCTGCTGTCGTGCCCAGGATCTTTCCTTCCCCTAGAACCTGTTCAGAATGTGCCACGTGTGTCCCTTAAAAGATTTTAATAGCTGCAATCCACGTATTAATGAGAAACAAGTTAAACTGAGTTTACTTGTTAATGATATATCCATTTTGGTGGTGATCAATATAAATGTATTAGTGTAGCATTCCAATTCCTTTCTCTGGGCTGTGTCTTGGAAATCCAGCATCTGGTCTACTCTAGCAACACGTCTCAGCTCAGGCCAATCACATTTCAGGAGCTGTATGCAGGGAGCACCCATCTTGCTGGCAGCATTGACACAGAGCATGCCCATCACTGTCGGAAAGTTCCCTTGGACAACACATGTATAGCCCAGTCATGAGGATTGTTATCTAGAAATGTGTCTTTGTAAAGAAGGCGTCACCTGTCATCTTCACTTTCCAAAGAGCCTCAAGGCAGTGTCTTTCTGGGGCAGCAGAATAACAAGGAAAGCCCATTTCACACTATTTGGACCTGTTTTTCCTCAGGGTTCAAACTACACTAAAGGCCCAGGAAAGCAGACACACAGCCACTGCCCCTACCATGCCAGGGCCCAGCTGTTCCTGGAGCACATGCTTTGCCCCCATTGCTCCGTTGGGATGCGGTTTGCTGGTGTAGTCATCAAGGTAGCAATTCTTTATGTCCCCAAACCTCTTTTAAGAAGGACTGGCTTTCCATCAACCCTCAAAGGTATGCAAAGGTATGGTGGGCTGAGAGACCATCAGCAATCCAGAAGGAAGCACTTACGGTAACCTTTGCTGGGGTGTGAGCACTCCTGGCCAGTGTGAAGTTTCCTAACACAGAGGTGGGAAGAGAGCCCTCAGTCTGTTAGGAGATGGCGCCAACTCATTGCTGGAGCAAAATGGGGAAGTACATGTGAACTTGACTTTCCCATTTCCAGGAACTGATGGAATATGTCCTCCAATATCCTTCACATACATAGGAGAAAAATCTGGAGGTCTCGGTGTATCCGGTAACAATGTCCTGACAGACAAATTTAGTAAGAAAGCTCACAGGTTAGCTTAAAGGATATATGAATGATAATAAACATATTATTCTTACATTCTACATCTACATCCATAATTAAAAAGACAGAGCTAATCAATATTATCCCGTTTAAATATAGCTCAAAATGAGATCAGCTTTCATTACATCTCTTTATTCTGGTTAGATAACAAGTGTACCGCTGTTCAAAAAAAGAAAGAGAGAAAGAGAAAAGATAGAAAGAAAGAGAGAAAGAAAGAAAGAGAGAGAGAGAAAGATCTAATATACAAATGGATTGAAAATATATCTGGATTTGTCATTGGCCCATGTGTCGTATAGGCCACCATAAATGTGAAACAGAGTGTGTGATTGTAAGCTATGAGGTTTACCCTACCCCAGGATCTTGGGTGAAACTTTATAACTGTATTCGGAAAAAGGCCGTACCATCCTCCCTTACTCTGCCAGACCGGACAAGATGTGTCCGATGGTTCAATAGTGGAAAGTGTGTTATGGAAACATCCAACCGCTTCTTTTTTTTTTTTTTTTTTTTTTTGGTTTTTTGAGACAGGGTTTCTCTGTGTAGCTTTGTGCCTTTTCCTGGAACTCACTTGGTAGTCCAGGCTGGCCTCGAACTCACAGAGATCCGCCTGGCTCTGCCTCCCAAGTGCTGGGATTAAAGGCGTGCGCCACCACCGCCCGGCATCCAACCGCTTCTGATTGGATCTGGTACCAGACGGGAATTCCCGTCTGGTACCGTCAATCTGATCAGAAGGGAGGTTTTGGGCCCTAGCGGGGAAACTGCTGCCCTTAGGTTACTAAATGGACCCGATCTACCCACCAAACTGATGTGTTGTGCACGTAGGTTAGTGTTGCGATCTGCTCGGTCAGAGAAACCTCCTCTCTACAGCGGGCAGCTGTCACTGCAGAGACCTGGCTGTCCTAAGTGCTGAGAATAAGTGACTGTAGATTGCTCCGTCGGAGGTGGGAAGGGCTACATCGCACCCTCCAAGGCTCGGGGGACATCAGGGAAGCAGGGATGAAAGAACGCTAAAGCCAGAGGATGGCGTTGGAATGGGGAAGCGGTATGGAAGGCTGACTTCCTGGAACAATGAAGCTATCGCTGGCTTGAACTCACGGTAGCTGCGATTACCTGCACAAGACCTGCGTAAGATGGGACCCATGGGGCCCCGTGGTGGAGGCTGAGACCAGGAGGATGGGGAGAGGAGAGCTACTTTGTCCCAGTGGTACCCCCTGGTTAAGATGACTGTGGAAGACATCCAGGTAAACCGGGGACTCAGGGCGAAGAGGAGGGGATTGGTGAGAGAGAGAGAGCGTGGTGTAATGGTGTGACTATGATCAAAATACATTATATACACTTACGAAAGTAACATAAAGTATGATTAGTATTCGCTGATTAAAAAAAAACTATTTTAAAAATATGTGTTGGACTAGGAAACTGTTTTCTCGATTTTAGTAATTCATGTCCACAGCCATCAAGACTCTTATCAGTCCCATCTGATACCTGCCCTGGTCCTTAATATTTTTCTCTAATTGGCTCATGATTTTAATCAACTACCTAAGCTTTTTCTAATAACACACATCGCCTGTTTGCTTGATGTACTACTTGTGTTTCTTTTCTTTTCTCTTTCCGTCACGTCACCCCTCCCCCCCTCCCCCCCACAGGGTTTCTTTGTGTAGCTTTGCACCTTTCCTGGAACTCACTCTGTAGCCCAGGCTGGCCTCAAACTCCCAGAGATTCACCTGCCTCTGCCTCCCGAGAGCTGGGATTAAAGGCGTGCGCCACCACCGCCCGGCTATTTTGTTTTTTTTTTTTTTTTTTTTTTTTTGTTTTTTGTTTTTGTTTTTTCGAGACAGGGTTTCTTTGTGTAGTTTTGTGCCTTTCCTGGAACTCGCTTTGTAGACCAGGCTGGCCTCGAACTCACTCTGTAGCCCAGGCTGGCCCCAAACTCACAGAGCTCCACCTACCTCTGCCACCTGAGTGCTGGGATTAAAGGTGTGCACCCCCACCGCCTGGCCAGTTGTGTTTGTTTTAAGGTGTAGCGCTGTACAAGTGCAACTGTGACGTTAATTGGTGTGCATGTTCCTCCTTCATCTTATATATCATATGTAACAGATGTCTTAGAAGCGTAGGGCAAGGTGACCTCTGTGGGGGCCACGGCACTGTGACTTCGAGAGATGTCATTATCTCAGCCAGTTTAGTGCTCACTGTGGAAATTTCAGGATTGATACACCTTGCAGCGATACTTGTCAATCAAGATGAGTGAAGCTAATGGATCATCTAGCTAGACTGTTGTGCGGGTCTCTCATTACAGATCAACTTGGCTCGAGACTTCTATTCTGAAATGTACTTGTTCCTGGAACGTGCCTGCTCCGTCAAGCAGCAGAAAGATCTGATCAAAAATTTAAATGAACACATTCTGCATATAATATTTTGTCTCTTACTACTAAGTGTGGTAAATAGGTTGAAATCTGCATATAAATCAGTTGTATTTGTCTAGTTGTCTCTCTGGGGTTGCTATGAAGGTGCTTTGAGTACTATGTGAAATTTTTAAGAGATTGCTGAGCCTAAGAGAGGATATGGAATTATTATTTTTTTTTTTACAAAAATAAGTTCAAGTATTAGAGAGTAGGTCTTTCTTAATGTGATTTAAATAATTTCAACCAGATGAACCATTGTCGACAATTTGCATTTAAAACATAATTAATTATGTTCGTAGGCTTGCTATTATACCGGAAATTAAGATACTATACATGTGGATAATAGGGAATTTCTCAATTGTCTTTTTTAATCCACTAGAAAGCTGCACATCTATTTCTACCCGAGGAAAGAAAAACATTACGCTGCTAAAGTAATGCCAGTCTTTGCTAGGATTAGGAGTCTGTGCATGGTTTGTGGGATTTATGATTTCTCTTCTCAGATGAAAACCAGATGGGCTAACCCAACAGCATAAACAGTTGAGGGGGGGAAATTGGCAAGAAAAGTCACATTCAATAATTAAATTTGTTGTTACACCTTCTCTTATTTAATGAGATAGTAGAGATAGTTGGAAACTTGATTTGCAAGATAATATAGTTCCCTGGCCCGGATCTAACCCAATAAAAGTTCTCACTCTATTTTGTTCGGGAATAATTAGGTAACAATATGATAATTAGGTAGGTCTTTTTATTAGAAACAGAAAAGTCTTGCCCCTCCTCCCCCCAAAAAAACTTTCTTGAAATGTCTGTAGATGTAACCAACCTTCTTATTAAATAAGAAACACAGAACCAATGCAAAGAAGAAAGCCAAGAGGTCAGAGCTAAGAGCTAAAACCTTACCCTTCCTCCTGCCGTGGTCCTACCTCTCCGAAAGAGAGCTACTTCCTGTGTTAAAGTCTTTATATAGAGTTCCTGTCCTGCCTTCTTACTGGTTGTAAACCCAATCACATGACTGCCTCATCACTGCCTGTCTGTATAGACCTCCAGGTCTTCTATGGTTGGTATTGAGATTAAAGGCATGTGTATCCAATGCTGGCTGTATCCCTGAACACACAGAGACTTACCTAGCTCTGCCTACCAAGTGCTGGGATTACAAGCATACGCCACCACCACCCGGCTTTCCGATGGCTTGCTAATAGCTCTGACCCCCGGGCAACTTTATTTATTAACATACAAATAACATTTTAATACAAATAAAATATCACCATAAATGTCCATCCTATTGTTCACTTCAGTGAAGACATGCGGACTTTATGTATGTATTTAAGAAAAAATAAAGTGAGTGTATGCCCTTTCCTGCAGTTATATTAGCAATAGCTGTGTAATCACTGTTTATACATCTTAGTAATATTCGATATTTTAGCACAAACACAAGGAATTAATTTACATCTTCTGACTTAGAGACTAGAAACAGTTATGTTAATCATGCAGTGTTTTAGGAGCATGATATGCAAGAACTTAATGTAGGCCATTCGTCTAGAATCCTAGATTCTTTGAATCTCCATCCCACCACATTCCTGAATGCTGTGAGGGAGGCTTTGTGCCCACCTCTTTACAAGCGTTTTTGTCCTGCCCTTCAGCAGGGGAAACAGGAAATGAAGAGCCAAGTGTCCAGGTTTGCATGCATAGGCCAAGGTAGTTTGGAGTGAGGTTTGGGTGTAGACCCCAGCGTTCCTTGGAGTTCTTAGGAGAGTTGTTGGGAACACAAGGATGAGAAGAGATGCATGTTGAGTTTATAGAGTTTATGGAGCCCATCACTTTGGACCTTAAAAATAAAGAATTGGGAAACATCGTGGAAACTGGCCAAACTCTTTAATAACAGAAGAAAACAGTGACCCAAGAGCTAAGTGCCTTATCTTCTATGCGTAGGGAAGATAAGAATCTAGATAAAAATGATGAATTGGCCATTTAAAGTGCTGATAGTGTTTTTTAATTATTATGGTAGTGTTTTCTAGCTGGATATGTACAAACTAGTACTTAAGTCTGATTCTTTTCTCAAATGTGATAAGAAAGTGTGTGGATGTTCATGAGTGTCACAGCCATGGCTACAATGGGGATTAAGAACAAAATTCTAGCCTCATGAACTGAACAACTACTGAATTCTTCAAATTTCCATTGGTAGCAGCCATTGTTGGGCTACCTAAACCATAGCTTGTGAGATATTCTAATGAATCCACTTTCTTCCTACATGGAGAGATTTGTGCCACCAGTTATGATCACGTAGAGAACCTTAAATAATACATTTTTTTAACCTGCCCACTGAGGAAGATATCCTGGCTAACAATAGTGCTCATAAATACATTCTTCATTGCTTCAAATATTCATGAAGACTACTCTTTATTATTATTCATTTGCCAACAGTTTGCTCTGGATTTCATGAATAAAACTCCTAGAGCAATGGGCCTATTTAAAAAAAACAAGCAAATCAAAACATAAATACAAATAAGCTAATAAAATAATAAAATATACAACAGGATCTCCTTTTTTAAAAAAAGAACATAATT